ATACAAATCTCAAATAATGTTTAAAATGACTTCTATATTTAATTGTTCGAAAATAGTAAGACAGATTCAATAAATGGGCTCAGTTAATTGTGTAGGTGTTCAGAATGTCAACTAGGTAAATGTTGCAGAAAAATAGGCATATTTTACTTGATCAAAAAAAGATAAAAGTTACTGGAGTGTTAGTGACTTATTGATTTATAAGGGTCGAAAGTAACTTCCAGGGTAAGAGGGCATCAACTTGTTAAGTTTCATTCTGAAAGGTGCTGGTTTCTAGACTGATAATGTTCTTACAGTGCTCTATAATTTGCCAATTTCATCGTGCTGCAGTAAATTAATCAATATTAGGTTTCTGTCCATTGATAAGCAGCTGATGAAGCAGCTAAGGTCTATGTCATTTATCTCACAACTTATTTCCAGTCTTCTAATCTACATTATCACTTTCAGAAGTTTAGCAATTGTGTATTTTCTTTGATTGATTAAGTTTTAATTCATTACTTTTTTATATTTTCTGCTCAGTTCATAACTGGCCAATGCCTTACTCCATTTTGATAGATATGGCCTTGTTAGGTGTTATCTTAATACACCAGATAATCTAGTTTGATATTATGTGATTTGCTTAGATTGGCCACAAGACTCATCAGGATTATCACAAAAATCTCTAGCTTACGATATTAATGTATTTGACTCAACATGCCAAAATCTCAGTCATAATTACAAGTCTGAACATCCGCACTTTTGGATTTTCATATTCATTATAAAATTCTTCCCAAGTTCAAGTATTCATATTTATTCTGTCATGCAATGGCAATGGTTTGCTATTTTGTTGCGGTTAAGTTGAATTAATTATCTGCCACTAATTGATATATTTTGTCTTAATATAGCACATTATACAAAATTTAGTTTTTGTCCTCGTAAAATCACGAAGCCTATAAAGGTATGTGGCCCACTGTAGTGAAGTAAGGCTCGACTTCAATTTTATCCTTTTAGACAAAATGTAACAATATTTACTTTTTTTCCCTTCATCCACTAGTGATAATTGACTCACTACGTATTTAAATTCTATTTCGTTCTCATTATTCTTGTGGTTGCTTCGTATTTCAGTAAGTGCAAATGTTTTCAGGTAGCAGTAGTAATTGGGTAATTGCTTTTTCGCTTTTTCATAAAATAATAATATATGGTTTCAATAAATTCCCTTTGCAATTTTAGGACTTTGGGGACACTCTTTTTCCAAATGATAAAAATTAATCACCCTATTGGAGTGCCCACGCGTGCCAGGGGTTGCCCACCCCTGTCCTATAGTAACCATCTTTCATTACTCACGATTTAGCCCTCATGAGGTACTTTATTTACAAATCCTGGTTGCATTTCTCTTGTATCAATACCAGTAACAATTTATCTATGGAGGATTTTATTTGTTCAGTATATCGGTGAAACATGAGAGTTTTATATTAGAAAATATTTAGAATTTCGATGTTATTTTTGATGTAGCTGACCACTTTGATTAGCATTAGTTGAAACAATCACTGTCCTAGCTACATTCATCTGAGCACAAATACACCAATGTAGATTTGTTTGTGTGTATTTTAAACCTATTTAATAATGCAGATTCATCTTTCTTCATTTGGACAGTTTTATTTGTGAAACTTAACCAGTTTCATAATTCATTTTGAGCACTGCAATTTTCCTTCACATAATATACAGTTCTGTTCAAGTGGTCTCTTACTAAGTTGCCTGCATTTATGTAATTAGTGTTGGAAAAAATATTACTATACATGGTTACTAGATATAGGTAGAAATGGTATTTAATTAAAATGATGACATTTGATTAAACTTTTGATTTAAACCATAGTAATTAATTTAATTAGTTTGTGATGCAAGATTTCAAATAATATTCCTATTTATTACCAAAACTAAAATATATGGAAGTATTTCTTATTAATTTCTTTTTTCCATTATTTATTTGAATTTTGCTACTTCCGTGTAGATTGGGTTGGGTTTACTTTCTCGGGTCAATTTTGAATTCAGGCAATACCGGCCCCATCCCACTGTGGGGCCAAGAGATAATATACAATTCACTAAATAACGGTTGGGGTGAGACTCGAAATAGTTCAGGTCATTATAATCAAGAAAATAACAATGAGGTAGTAAATTCACAAGAATTATATACTAATAATGTACTGGTATATCATAATATGTTCTAACAATATATATATATATATATGTATTGTTTATATTCCTAGTTTGGGGACAATAATTCATAGTGAATTAAAAATAATAAAACCTGATTTTGCATATTACAAAAACTACATTTTGTTAAAAGTAAAATCTAATATGAAATACAAAGCAAACAGTGATACGTGTTACGAGGAGATAACGAATAGGAATTTTTCATTAAGTGACCTCTTATTAAAAATGGTTTGTTTGCATTTCTGATTACGGCAACCAGCTATGTAAAATCAGGGACAAATTACAGAAGGTAACTAATTACATAGTACAAACCTGTTCGACTGTTCACAACTTTGGCAAAATTTATGTCATTTTCAAGTTATTGAAATTCATTAATTAAGTATATGTATTCAAAATCCATATTCATCAACCTTTTTCAAGCGAAACGAAACATTGTTTCCTGCCAAATACTCTCATCACATGAACTTATATAAAACTCACCCAAAACTTCAAAATTATGGAATTGATAGGATTTGAGTTAAAAATTATAATAGACTCTATCAATAATTCAGAGTAAACATAAAAAGGCATATACACATAATTTGTAACAGAAGGTCCCATGAACAGCTGGTCAGATTCGTCTGAAAGTTTAGCAATATTTAGCTTGTTTATTTTATGTCATACGACTTTTATTAAATAGTTCCAGATTCATTGTAAGCAAGGTTTGTGTTATAAAAGTACCATGCTGATGTTCGCAAATTTATTATCTTGATTCATTTTATTAGAAATATATATTTTATAAGTGACGCCTGAAAGCAGGGCAGTATGCCTAAATTCAAGCTTATTATTTATTGATCATTATATCTTGATGTTCATTTTTGTTGATATGACTGTGAAATGAACGAATAAATCTTGGAATCTGACTAGCTTACATTAATTACATTAATACTACTACATTAATTAATTAAGTTACCAATCAATCTGTGCAATCAAAATCAGTCACATTTATTCAAATATTTCTCAAAATCTTGCAAGAAAGGTTTCATTTTTGATCTACATTTTCTTATAATAGTAATCACTGTATTGATGTTTATATTTAACAGGGTCGTAAATATACTCTAGAATTCTATTCAATAAGCAGTATAGAAGAGATTTTTAGCATTTATGCATTATTGTTACGTCAATGAACTAAATATTTAACTTTTCATTTTGAACTCTCGATCGAATTTAACAAATTTTGACTTGTCATCTTATGGTAGTGTATTTTATGGCTAAATTTATTGTCACTTTTGAATAGGAAAATGTAAATTTATGTCTTCTTTAAATAAAATAAAGAGTGAAATATGTGTATATGATATAATGTGATAGAGTAAATACCAAAAAGATAAGAGGCAGAGTTGAAATGAAACAAACCAAAACCGATTCTAAAACATTATACCTTGGTAAATTCTAAAAAAGTCATGCATTTCATGTTGCTTCGCTTCCATAAAAGTGTTATGAACAGATATATTCAAATTATTAGTGGCTGCTATATTTCTCAGTCTGGTCTGGCATATCCTACTCATTTAAAATTGTGGGAGAGACGGTGACTCCTTTAACCTTGTAATTGATTTAGCTGATATTTTTAGTTTTCAGCGCTCAGACCAATTATCAATATATCGTGACAATACTAACTTGATATTTTGCCATTCTATGGTCCAGTTTGTTGAGCTATGTTTGATTCTAGGTTGTTTGTGAGCTGAGCTAGTAAAGTTGAAACTTCTAATAATAGATAAACACATTATTTATTCAAGGCATGCTTGATAGAAACTGAACTACCATTATCATATCTTACTTTAATGCTTAAATTGTAAAAGAAAGAAGATGAATTCACAAGTAATAAACCAGGCTAGAGCAAAACAGTCAGATCGTCTCATGACATCATATGACAGGTTCAAAGAGAAAGGGTTTCTTTGCGATTTCAACATCAACGTTGGCGACCAATCATTTCAAGTGCATCGTACTGTCTTGGCAGCCTCTTCAGAATACTTTGAAGCCATGTTTTCAAGCAACTTGAAGGAGGTCCATGACGGTCACATTAATATGAAGGATATCGATCAGGATGGGATCGCGCAATGCATAGAGTTCATGTATAAAGGAAAGGCAGATTTGAAATTAGAAAACATTCAGCATATCCTGCATGCTTCCAATCTTTTACAAATAGAGGAATTAACGAATCTTTGTTTTCAATTCTTGGAAATTAACATTTCTCCAATAAATTGTCTCTCTGTAATCAACTTGGCCCAAATGTATGACCGTCGTGATATTAAACAACAAGCCGAAAAGGTCGTGATTGATAATTTCGAATCCATTATTTCTTCCGAAATGTTTCCATTCATCACCAAATCAGATCTCTTGCGTTACATGAGAAACGAGACTTACCAAACATCATGGAAAGCTGTGGTAACATGGGCAAGAGGAAAAGATAACGAAGACGTTTCTGAACTTGTCTGCATTCAGCAATTTCCCTTCAAATTTCTCCTGGAAACTGTCCTCAAAGAACCCATTCTTAAAAACAATAAAACAGGCAAGAAATTGGTAATCACTGCATTATTTTCTGATTTCAAAAAATTTGAGACAAACCTTGATATTAACAACTGCTTTATCTTGAAGAATCTTTCTGAAACCAATGAAGTTTCTGAACAAACAACAGTTAAGGATTCCATTAATCGATTCTTGGAGACAAATTTTGAACAAATTAGCAAGAAAAATGAATTTCTTGATATCAGCAAGGATGACATAATAAGACTTTTAAAATCTTCAGTCACAAAGTATTCTTCTGAGGCTGTCAAATATGAGGCGATGATAAAATGGGTAAAGCATGATGTCAAAAACAGAAAAAAAATCTTTCAAAACTTGTTTAGTTTCATTAAACTCAAAGAAACATCTCTAGAGTTTTTGAAAAAGACAGTTCGAATTGAGCCTTTAGTAAAAAACTCAGAGAGATGCTACGATTACCTTGTGGATGAAATATTTTCACGATCATCTTCAAAAGCCGAGGAAAAACCAAATGCAGAGAAACCCTTGTTCCAACCAAATTCAAGCTCTTCAGAAGATGATGAGGAAGAATCTTTCGCCACAGGGGGTGCATCGGGTTATGGCTCTGCCCAATCCAAACCACTTTATGGTAATGAAAATAATATAATTGAATACTAAGAGTCAGGAATAACGTGCCTTCTGTGTAAGTTTTCATAAATCGGGGGGTCTTAGACTGGGAATTTGGAATGTTCCCATCAAAATTCTCAATTTAGGGCTAAAATTTGGCCTCTGACCCAGATTTGAGTTACTGGATAAACTCATGACTCAGCATAATTGAAGTATTGTTAAACCATAAACTCAACTTTTCAGAAAATGTTTGATGAATTCTTTTTATAAGGCATTAATTAACAAACGAGGTCATACACTTGCAGCCACTGATATCTATTGATTTGTAGGAAGGTACTTTATTTTGGAGAACCTGATTTTTTTTGTAAGGCATTGCCTGCCCAATCTATTATACACTTTGACTCAAGGAGGGTGGTATAGAGATTAAACCTGAAATGTGTAATCTGTAATGCCATCTTACAGTTTAACCGCTAGGCCATGGCATTGTCCCATAACTCAAATAATCACACAAAAGCTCACTTACATCCAGGAACCATCATTTTCATTCTTTCATTTTATAATTTTTATATATCATGGTACCCTTTAAATATCATCGAACCCCTCAATCGCAAGCATTTTTGCTTAAATAAGAACAAACATTATTTTTGCTACAAGTTCTGGTTTCATTCATCCAGGTGCAGAATATCAATCTTCAATTCAAACTACATCTGGTCTAATAACCATCAACCAACAACCATCTGGATGGGAGATGAGAAGGGATTTGTTGCTTGAATCACTGCCAGGATATGAAAGAGTGTGGACTAGTGTCATCACCTACTCATTTCCTGCTGGAAGTCTGATGGTGAGATATGAAACCAATTTAATTGTCGGTTGGAAAATAAATTATAGATTTAATCGAATCAAGATACTTAATCAAAGAGGTTCTTATACATAATATTGATCCTCAAATGCAAATTAGCATATATGAAAATCTATTTTATGCATCGAATGCCAGTGCAATAAAGAGGAATCACAAATCTTTGAAAGTAATATTTAGAAATGGCCTATAATTCTTGGTGCAATTATTGTAATTGTAAACTTTATGAATCAATTCATTGAGTGGTTACAAATATATATCTTATTGTGAGTGAGATCAAAATCATTGCATATGCCAAAATTTACTAATTTGAGCAGTGGTGCGCAACCTTTTTTTAGGCGGGCCGAATAAAAGTAACTGAATGAAACCGCGGACCGCACTTAGAAACTCTACATCCGTCTCTAAGTACATCTCTAGATACAAAAATTTGTAGTTTTTATTCAGTATTTCTCTGTTCTTTCTTCTCGCCATGTGTACCTTGCAGAATTTTCTACTTGTGAAAAGGTTTCCGTAATGGTAAAAAATTAATTTGTTCCAAGCCCCTTCGTTAGTAGAAAATTTCGTAAGTATGGACGCTTTTTACCTGAAAATGCATTCATCCGTTCCAAGCCCCCACAAATTTTGGTATACTATTTGACTGGGCTAAGCGAAGACCACGGAGATGGGGTGGTCGGAGGAGGCGTTAAAAGTTGAAATCTAAGAGAGAGCGTAATGTACAAAAATGAGCACACGCACATGAAATTCAAAATTAGACTTTCTCTTTTTATTTTGCAGTTTTAAGAATTAAGACCGAAAGACTTCTTTTATTTTGCCAGTCGGCGCTGATTTAAATATTTTATGTCGGCTGTTATGATTTCATTTTTGATTATATATTGATACCGTTAACTTAAACTGAACGATATTGTCATCAACGACGCCGCGATACATACTATATATTAATTATGAAATATTTTATAAGCTCTAGTCTAAATTGCAAGAAATGAAATAAATTTCCCCTGTGTTCGGTCACTATTAAATGGAAGGATGAATGCAATAAATTACACAATTTGCTTTTAGATTTATTGGCGAGGTCGCACAAACTACCTTGAAAAAATTGAAATATTTAATAATAATTGTAAAATATTTTTAATGAGAGATATCCGTGATGTGTAATAAGCACTTCAAGTCAGAGCTAATTGAAATCCTTTCATGCCGACTGTAATTTACTACCGACTGCCTATGAATACGTTAAAAAATGAAATAATTGTGTTTTGGATCAAAACGTTGACCACGGGCCGGCGCTAGGATATGAATTGGACACCCGGGCTTCAAGCACTGCATTACCGTAAAATAAACAAATGTCACTACACGCGTTTTTTGTTTTCAATTTTCGGCCTTTCTTATGTAGAAACTCTTACGTTAGTCGAAACAATATTTTAACAAAAAGAATTTTTGTAAGGTGAAGTTTCTACTGTACAGTATATACAAGCATAAAAAATTGTTTATATTTTTGATTGATCCTATGGTGCGATGTTCGGGTCTTGGCAGAAATGTTTAGTTAAGACGCAAAAATTTCTAAAGAAAACTGCTATTTAAAATTGTCACACCGAATTCAGTGAGAAACACGCTTTCATAACATTGTGTATATTTCAACGAGTTCTTGCAGGCTAGTTTCTTTGATATGTTAGTGGCACTCGGCTACTGGTATAGGGTATTGGCTATCCCCAGTAATTTATTTTTATTATTCATGCCTTTTGCTCTGAACAAGGACCTATACAAGCAGCCACTGATATCTACCGTAGTTATATTCAAGGAGATATTATTATTTTTTCAAAGAATCAGGATTTTCTGGTTCTGCGTTTTTCACCAATTTATTTCACCCTGGATGAGGTGGTGGGCATGGGGATCTGAACCGAGATGTTCAATATGTGATGTCAGCATAGTTCAGTCTAACGCTTTAACCGTAGGCCTTTGCACAGCCCAGAAGTTTGAATGCAGTATTGTTAATGTTTACAATAACCCACATGAGTTATTGCCTCTCATAGAAATATACAGAATCAGGCAGTATTTGTATAATGCTTATATGTGTTGACTCTGGTTCATGCTCTGTCCGTCTATGATTAATTTAAACTGGGTATCCTGATCGAATTCAGTTCTAATGGAAATCAAAGCATTAAAAGATTTGGTATTGATATAATATTCAAATAGAAAAAGAGTTTGTGTAGTAAAATCATAACATAGCAATATATAAATCATTCTTGTTGAAATCTGAATAATATTAAATAAGGTGTTCATAGAATTTAGTTCATCTATTTTTAATTTAGAATTAGATTTAATGGTGCGGTGAAATCCTGACATAGCCATAATTTCTGATTTTCAACGTATAATTGAGTTATCCCGTTGTCAAGTTAAAATGATGTTTTAAAATTAAAATACCAAGTATTTTGATGGAAAGTTATTTGACTTCTAGTGAATGTTCATAGATATTCTGATATTTATTTACGTTTTAACAAATCCCCAGGTATGATAGATGATTAGTTATGTTTGTTTCTCCAGGGTTTTTTATATGAAGCTCAGGAATACACTGAATATTTGCCAAATACTTTTGATGAAAACATATGTCATAACTTACTCTATCAAGCATTCAATGCAGGATTGACTTTCAAGATTCAAGAAGTTGGTGACAGACGAGGAAAAATTGTTTGGAACGATAAGTTTCCTCATAAGACTAATAAAACTGGAGGGCCAGAGAAGTGAGTGCGTTGTGTTTTTTATGTTATATGATTACTTACCCTACTTCAAATTAGGTTATTACTGTGTATTGCTCTACAACAAAATTCAAGGTTCTTTCAAAATATTAAACTAAATTCCTATTCCGGAAAAATAATATGAAATTGTGTTTACAGCTCGAAGTACATTTAGTTTAGTGCCGATTTTTAAAGATTTTTGAAGCATTAAAGGCATAATGGATACTTCATTTGAATTTATTCTTGATTTTTTGTGAAATTTTATTTGGAAAGACATACTATTTTTGATCTACCGGTCTCAAACATAATCAATCACTATGACCAAATTGTATTTATTAAATAGATTAGAATTTAGCGTTTCCCAAACTTTTTCGGCCACGGAACACTTACACTTTTTATCTCGCCTCGCGAAACACTAAAAAATGAAAGGGTAAAATTGATAAAGAAAAACGGTGTAATGTAGCGGTTCCCAATGGGTTCGTCGTGGCGAGTTGCCAAATGCGCCGCAAAAACTAACAGAATTATGTTGAACATACCTAAAATATGATTGAATATTTTACATATTTCATTTATTATAAATGTTTTATTGTTTCTCAATTTGAATGCTGTTTATATGAATCGTTATACTTTTCTATATCGTTTACTTTCCATTACGTAGTGTTTGCCTCTATAATGTTAAGTCTAATGGAGATAGACGTACTTTCTGCAACTTCGCGAGCCGCAGTTTATTGATCTGCTGAATCGAGTTTAGCGAACATGAGTAAATTTTTCAGCATTTCAAAGTAAAATCAGACAGAGATGACGGAAGAAGAGTTGACCATTTGCCTTCATTCTTTAAGACCTACCTGTTTGCCTATTGCTGCAAACTTGATAATGAACTTAACAGTCAAAGAGCTAGGCCGACGGTTAACGAATATGCCCCTACCCTACCTTAGTTAGTCCGCTTTAGGCCAACGGGACACGATATTGAACGGTCAGTTGGGCGACAACTTCACGATCCCTAGATCGCCATGGCGACCCATTTAGACGTATTTTGATTTATTTCCCACGGAACACTCGGAAGACGCTCGCGGAACACTAGTGCTCCGCGGAACACAGTCTGGGAAACGCTGGATTAGATATTTATATTATAATTCTAAAATGTTGTATTTTTGGCATCTGCATCATGGTTATGGTTCTTAGTACAAATGATATTCTTGTAATTCACTCCAATCAAACCAATGGTGACATGAGCAAGAAGTAAAGTCAATTAGGACAATTTTTGGTATACCATAATTTATCTTAAATTGTGAAATGACACAAAGTTTGAAATCCTTTTGGTATCGACGTCAAAGCTAGAGTCGTATTTTCGTCTTGTCAAAAAGTTTTGATTTCAGACATTTGAAGCTAATGTCTAATGAAGCTAAAGTTTTCTCAAACTTTAAACAGAAACTATATTGGCCATTTGTAGCCATCATGACTTTTTCTCAATTGCTCAGACGAAATTTTGGTACTCCTGAAGTATTTAACCAAGATGGCGGATACTGGAACGTAGTATGTGTACCAGGTTAGGGTTAGGCTATGATTTCAGGTAGAAATACTATGGGAGTCACTTGGCTAGTCCCCGAACTCGTAATAGAACTAAAGAAAATTGGAATAAAATTATGGTCGTACCAAACCTGGTGCACATACTACATTCCGGTGTCTGCCATCTTGGTTCGGGAACGACGAAATGTTTTATGAATTTAAATCCCTAGAACCCAATTGTGTACTTCATTACTCCCCAGGAAGGATCTATCATTGTTAAATAGAAAACTTACAAATTTTCAATTCTTTTTTATTTAAGCAATGGATATCCAGATCTAAACCATACAAAGAAACTGCAAAAAGCATTGAAGGCAAGAGAATTTGAGTTTGATGCATCAATAATGGTGAGATAATTTTATTCATTTGACACTCTGGCAAATTATTGCTGTGTCCATTTTCCCCAACATGCATTCATATAAATAGTCTTGAATTGCTGAAATAACAAAGTAGATAAATATCGCTTGAAACTAAATTGAGTATTGAACTTGCATTGGTATCTGAGTTAAATAAAGGATTGCTTCTTCTGCTTCAGGACTTCATTACTTCTTCAAGTTTTGCCCGATTCTAATAATTTACAATTCGATTTGATTCAAATATTTGATTTGAAAAGCCCATCCTTATTTGAGAAAATTCAGATCCAAAAGCGCTTTCAATGAGACACTCTATGTTAGGGGTGAGCAACTTCTCTAGTCGGCGGGCCACATGTGGGAAAATAAAGTTCTCGGTGGGCCGGATTATAACATGAATAGTATTCAATATCACATATTTATTCGCTAATGCAAGAAAGAAAATTATAAATCGCGTTTAAAGTAAAGTTTAAACTTTACAAAAAATGGAGACCAAATAACACATAATGAATTTATCATTAGTTTTGTGGTTGGGAAATGTGGAGCTTGGATAAATATAACAAAAAACACAACATGTTTGCTGCCATATCATAGTGTACAGATTGACAAATTTTTCCTTTGTTCTATGAATAATAATTCTTTTTTTATTTCACAGAATTTCTGGGAATTTAGATAGATTTCCTGCAACACTGGTTCCACTGTTTCAAGCATAAGATAGTGAACTGAGATGTTAACTTTGATCTTGAACTCGCCTTCATTAAATCTACAACAAAGCCAAAACAATATTGCCAATGCAGCCCTTGTGCAAATAATATATTTGATCAATTGTTACAAATAATGAACCGATAAAACTATAAATATTATGATGAAATTTTTTGTCAACATAGTATTTGTGAGATTTCCGTATGGGCATGACAACAAATAAGTAAAACAACCAAGGCAGCTGAAGCGTAAGACTCAACTGTGCGGGCATCTCAGATTACACATCTTAGGTTTAAATTCCATGCCTCCCCCACCTCCACCCCACCCCCACCACACCCAGCGTGTGTTAGATTGGATAGGCAATGCCGAAGCTAAAGATTTTAGTCTTTTCAAATTAATAGCAGATCTTGTTAGATATCAGTGGCTGCTAAATATTAATATTTTTGGGGCATATTTTGATAAATTTGTAGCTTCCATTGCCCAAAACAGGACTTTGAACAAGCATCCAATGCTGAATATGAAACTTCTACATAGCAGGAAAGAACTTAAAATACTCCTGTTAAGCAGTGTATACAACACTTAGGGTGAGGTGTCTTATTGTGCTGGTATGAATTGAACATGGGTATTTTAATCAAACATGCTAACATAGTCAAGTCTAAACACTAGGCTAATACGATGCCTGTATTGTCAATATATTAAATTCGGTGTAAAGTTTATTTATTCGCATTATTTATTAATGAAAATATGTTGAATAAACTGACATTTTTTTGTCAACCCATATGCTACAAAATTGGGTACTCACGTAATATTTGAATCAAGGGATTGTAGTATGTGTACCAGGTTAGAGTTAGGTCATAATTTCAGGTACAAATATTACAAGAGTCACTTGGCTATTTCCCGAACTCGTAATAGAACCAAAATAAGCAATATTGGATAAAATTATGGCCTAACCCTAACATACTACGGGAGTACCCAAAATTGTTCTGATAATTTGTGGCAGGTTATACCTCAACCAAAAATTAATTAGTCAAGTCTGATATGATTCAAAAAATGTCCAATCCAACCCTTTGTTATTGAGCTCATGAATTACGTTTTGTATAAATATTCTATTTTTGCTCTGGGCCATAATTGTTAATTAACCACAACTAAGTATTTTATTAATCCAAGTTTCAATGTTGTTCTTATGCATTTCATTATATTACTTTTAGGGCATATTGTAAACTTTTCCGTAGATTCCCCACTGCTGCTGTTAATGACACCCCATTCCAATAGATATATACAATTACTATGGGCTCCTAATGGCCAACCAACGTTGTATATATCTATCAATATCTCATTAAATGATCAATAGCATTTTTATATATTATTTTCATAATTACGCAACCAAGCCAAGATTTGTATATCCAAAGCATCTGACAATATACATATCAAGAGTTCCAGCAAAATAATTTTACTCAAATATGATGCTTAGTATACTTTTTATCGTTCTATCTAATTGTGATATGCATTGTAATCTGTATTGTTTTTCAAACCATTTATTCTTCATATAAAGAAAAGTATTAGCTTGCAAATTTCATAGTTCATACGGAGATAAATTCTTGGTTTAAAACTAGTGATATCTGCGTGCTCCTGAGGTATGCGAACCAAGAAGGCGGACATCGAAATGTAATATGTGTACTAGGTTAGGGTTAGGCCATAATTTTATTCCAATATCCCTTATTTTAGTCTTATTATGAGTTTGACTTTTGTCAAATATATGAGATAAATTAGAAAAAGGATAATTCTTGAATTATTGTTATTTTTTTACAAATAATTTTATAAACATCTTCAAGTTTATATATTAATATCGCAGTCTCAAAAATGTCGTGTTCCACACATGTCTTTTTTAGATCAATTTTCTTATTTTGCCTCACTAGTACCACTTTTCTGAGTTTCAGTAGATATTTATTGTGGAGCGAATGGTCCAAAACAGCATGTGAAGTGGGTTTTGCAGAATACATACAAAGGAAGATTTGAACAATTCGGACTGTTGTGTGGCACAACATTTTGAGACGTTCAATTAATATTGTGCTTCATAAAAGTTCCTAATCCACTTTTGAACAGCTTGTATTGGAAAATTGATATTTTGAATTAATAATGAACCTAATTGTAGATCAATTCCAACGTGTGTTGATTAGTGTGCTTGGCTAGCCTAAATTGTTCCTAGCTTTCTTTCTATCTTTTTGGTCGACAATATACGCTAACAACATAGGCCTCAGAGAAAACTAAAATTCGTTGGAGAAATTTATCAGCCTAGGTTGGCTATGCCTACTGATAGCCGTTACGTCCTAACAATATGATCCGTGCATGATTATCTCTTGCAGCCAGCTCGACAGTATCACAAAAACTGCTGGCTGCTCCAAAAGTATGTTTACCACTATGGAGGTACCGGTAACTAATTTTGCCTATTTCATATCAAATTGTGTAAAGGGAATGAAAACTGTGAGCAGGGGAATATTCACTTGGCTAACATAAACAGTCTCCAAACTTGTAATAGAACTAAAATAGGTCAAATTGTAATAAAATTTTGGCCTAACCCTAACAGGGTGCTTATTCTACGGGAGTACCAATGTGGGTGTACCAATATGGAGGTAACTATTTTGTTAGCATATTTTGCATCAAATTGTGTAAAAGGAATGAAATCTATGGGCAGGGGGATATTTACTTGGCTAATATGGACAGTCTCCAAACTTGTAATGGAACTAAAATTAGTCAAATCGGAATATAATTATAACCTAACCCTAACATGGTACTAATTCTACGAGTTCCAACTTCTGCATATATGTCAGAAAATTACTAATTACCCTCCTTTACCAATATTCACCAAAATTTAGTAATCAATCAATCTGCAGAGATTTGTAAGATATTTTGCGTAATATATAATTTGTAATCTGCAATGCCAACACACGTAAGTCCGACGCTGGGCCATCGCGCAACCAGTAAGTTGTTGTTTTGCTTTCTCCATCGTGATGACATCTTGTTGTCTCAAATAGACTACACTTGGACTAGGAACTTGATGCTTTTAAATATGATTGAATAGAAATGATACAAAAGAGTTCAACACGGTATTAGAATAAAATTTTATATGAATGTTTGTTAAGATGGACCGGGCAATAGTTGAGATGGTCCTCAACTATTGCCCGGTCTATACAGGCTCGATATGGCAACAGCTAGTTAGTTAACATTCCTATATTATTGGATAGTTGGGAAAGTCAATCCTTAAATTTATTCATCTAATTTTGAGAATTTGAATTTACCCCAGTCATCATTAAAGCAACTGTAGGTGTGTTGTAGATACTCTGGTACCATACCTAACTGTTAACTCCAATGCTATCATTGGAAATTTAATACTCCATCCCTTTACTCTTGCTGATAAAATGTACAAGGTCGAGAATTCTACATTGGATGTATAGTTTCATTAGAACAGCGACAAAATTTTTACTCATATTCTACTTTGACCATAAGATGTATAATGCTTCTGACAAGGTAACATTACAGAGACAGGGAGATTTATTATTTTGACAACCAAAACTAATGTCATCAATACAGAAAAAAGTAGCAACAATAAAATTATTTTGGTATGAACAGGATGGAGTGATACGACCATAATTACATTATTATTCACTTCCGTGATTGCTATTGAGAGTTTTGCAAATGTTTCAAACTCTTTGTGGGTATGTCGGTTTACTTGCACAATTCCATGCGTTGCCACAACAGACCGAAGACCAAAGCAATTGAATATGGCCGATGTTTGAGGCCGATGTCTTCTTAACATGTTAGATTTGAACAGGGGGTTCCCCTATGAACAACAGCGCCACCAAACAGATATATAGGTTACCTAAAATTTTCTTTAAAACATTTATCAAATCAAAAACATCATTAAATCTAGTACATTTAGAGAAAAAAATGAAAAAAAAAATAGATTCAAAATATATCTGCTTTGTTATTCAGTTTTAGCAGAGTATGTCGGAGCAGGAAATCTGATCGCACTGAACAACACAAGGACCTACAATCGGACACTGACAAACTGTTTCTCAGATCTGTAAACTACTGGTTCCAAATTTAATGCCCACCGCCTCACCCGGGCTGTAATAAACTGTGTAGACAATACTAAATCAGCAAGATTCAGGTCCTTTTAAAAACATTGACTGCTTGTACATGGCATTGTTCGGAACGAAAGGCGTGAATAAGCATCATGAAAATATATATATTTGTCCATGTGTTTCCTATCAACTCCAGATTAATTTTATCTGACATTATTCTTATATTAATATATTCTATTCACTTGAAACGACTTTTGTGATTTTTATTATATTGTTTATATGATTTTGTATGACGACCGTAAAGGGGCGCTAGATACCAGGTATTGATATCATGGCCAAATTATCTATCATTGAAATACCATTAATTCAATTTAATCACAGAATTCAGTCAGTGAAAGCAAAATTAAAAGCTAAATGTTATCAGCAAGATATACAATTTGGTTGGAGCGTAATGCTGTAATATTTCAAAATCATGACCCAAGTATAAATAATGTTATTATGAAAATTAGGAACTCACTTATAATGAGAAGAAATATAAAAAAAATGTGAAAGGAATTTTGTTGTATAAAAGAACTTGGCATGATTTGTAATAACTTGTGACTAATTATAAAATTTTGAAAAAAAAAAAAATGTTATTAGCAAGTTACTCTAAGCCTAAGGCATCTAGTTTTAGTAGTTGCAAAATGGAAATATTTAAGAAGTAACTATTTTAAGCAGGAAGGCATTAAATAGGACTAATTAGAAAGTGTTAACAAAATGTAAGTAAATTCATTTTAATTTTCTCATCCAATTTCAATTTTCTCATTCAATTTTGCGACTAAAGTAGTAGTGTATATAAAATTATAATCAATGTTTGAGATGCATTGTTATTTCATGAAGTATTATTACAACATTAGAACAGGACTTTAGTATTTAATTTTAAGACAAATTGAATATATGAAATATATGCACCCAATTAGTTCTATAAGATGTCAGTATGTCAACTGGTTAAATATTGCAGATGAATAGTTTGGAGTGTAAATGACTTATTGTTTATAAGGGCCGAGTATCCTCCAGGCAATTTGTTAAGTTACATTCTGAAAGGTGTTGGTCATGTTTGGTCTCTAGACTGACAAAGTTTATACAATGATGTATAATTTGGCATTTCATCCTTTCATGCCAAATTAAACAATATTGGGTTTCTGTCTATTGATACGAAACTGATGAAACAGCT